ATATTAACAAAATGATTATAATTCAGGGTTAAAGAAAAGAATAACATGAACAAAACAGTCATTATCAAGAAAACATCTTTTAATTGTGAATATATGTATAATACTTTTTACTTAGGCTAACAAGGACTTTCAATAATGTTACAGTTTATTTTTAAAGAAGTAAATGAATCAATTAAGTCTAAACTATACTAGCATGAATTATTAACATTAAAAACCTATTCGATAAAATAGTTATTCCTTGAAAAAAACTTCTTTTTTTATAAAAAAAAAAAAAACAGAATGCTAAGCCTTTCACCATGTTCACTCCAAATCTGAATTATATCAGAAATGTAGATCTTTTAATCCTTCAAATTTGTTATAAACATTATTCATATTTCTTTTGATTTATTCAATAAAAATTAAGAATGTATCTCGTTGAAATCTCGTTCTTGAATTATTTCCAAAACATGTGATACAAGTGGAAAATATCAATGAATTTAAAAAATGTTATAATCAAACTTAACTCTGTGAAAAAATTGTGTTTTACAATGAGTAGTTTTTGAGTAATAAAATTTTCTAATTTTATAACCAATCAAGTCAGTCTTTTTAGCCACAATGTAGAGAAAATGGGTGAGGGGTACAAGTACATCCCATTTGAAGTTTTTCTTTTCAAATTTCTTAGATATGTAGTTTTTCAATCATTTATAACAAATAAGTTGAAATAATATGCTTTTTGTTCTAAAAAAAACCAGAAAAATACCAAATTTACAAAAATAGCAGCATAGCAAATTTGACACGAAAAAGCAACAAAATTTTATAAAACTTTCACATATTAACACCTACCTATAGTTTTTTTTTAATTAAATTTATTCAGATTGGTCCACTTCATCTTAGGTGAAAGTATGAAAAAAAGTTTAATTGTGGAACTGTTTTTTATGATATAAGCCCCAAAATGAGTAAAAATTGATGAACAATGGGAAAATCATCAACATTGGGTACTTTCAAATAGCCGTAGCTAAAAAAAAAGCAGCGCACCACCATATGATTATTTCTTCACCAATTATTTTTTTACGGTCATATAAAGCCAAAAATCAGGTTAAGAAAAAAAGTTTAATTCTAGAAATGTTTGGCTCCTCAGAGGTGTACATCCTTAAAATCAGCGTCTTAATTGTCCTCATTAACCTCTTATAAATCTAAAAAATCAAACATACTATAATAATAATCCTTGAGATGTGTCAAAAAGTTTGCTGTTGTCTTTGTATGTCCAGATATAACACATGTGCAACTTAAAAATGTTCATAAAATTTTATGAATTGTTTTCATTGTAATCAGAATGTAATCAAAAAGTAATAAGGATTACAAGGTATTTTGAAAAGTAATTGATTAAATTAAATTACATGTAATCAGTTTTTTTTTTTGGCTGATTAATGATTGCAATAACTTGAAAAATTGTAATCAATTACAGCTGGTTATTGATTACAATTACAATTACCCCAAGTCTGAAATCAACCAAGTTTCGTTCAATGTATTAGCAAAATTGAGTGTCAAGTTTATGAAATTAAAATTGTCTTCGAAAATATAAGATGTACACAAAATGACTCAATGAACGAATATAAACAAAATCGCATGTGGAGTATACGTCAATGAGACAGCAACAATACGACACAAATAACCAAATAATATCTAGAGAACGACATAATGTCTTCAACAATAGACAAGTGTTTGTACATTTAGACAACCTCTAAATCGTCTCAAGTCTACAGCGTATATTAAAATTATAGATCTACAATTAACATACAATTATACAAATTAAAAAAAAAAATTAAGATATGACTAACTATACTGAAGATTTTCATGACTACGGACGTGACGTGCACTGGGAAATCTGTCGCAGTTAAACTGGCTATTTTCATATAACAATCCGTCTCAGTTGTACTGTTGTTGTCCTATCAACACGTCTTGTTTTTTAAAAGATGAATACCGTTTCAACAATGAATATATAATAAACTGTTATCACAGAGATATGTCTCGCTTTTTTGTAATTTCGATATTGCAAATGTTGAAATTGAAAAAGCAACACTTTAACATGTAAGTTTTGCATATTTTCAAAGTCAATGAACCATGACTGAAGGTACATGGCTAAACAATCTCCATGGAAATGAGATGTGCCAATTCTTATACAACTGCATACCAAATACCATTGACTTATCATAAGTAATTCCCTTTAAACAAACCTAAACACAAACTAATACATGCAAACTAAGCAAAATTTCTAAGTCAATAAACCATAACTGAGCGGGCGAGGTCAAATAATCTCCATGGTAATGAGATGTTTTTATGCTTATACAACTGCATACCAAATATCATTGACCTACCACTAGTGGTTCCCCATAAACCGACTTAATCACAAACTAATACATGAAAACTAAGCATAAGTTTCAAAGTCAATAGACCATGACTGAGGGGGCGGGGCCGAATAATCTCCATGGAAATGAGATAGGCCAATGCTTATACAACTACATACCAATTATCATTAACTTACCACTAGTGGTTCACCATAAACAGACCTAATCGCAAACTAATACATGAAAACTAAGCAAAAGTTTCAAAATCAATAGACCATAACTGAGGGGGCGGGCCCAAATAATCTTCATGGTAATGAGATGTCCAATACTACACAGCTACTTTAGTACAAGTAATCTTGATGTACAGTTCTAAAGATGCATATCAAATGTACGTCCGTAAAGCTGTATATAAACTGTACAGCTGTAAAGCTGTATATAAACTGTACATCTGTAAAGCTGTATATCAACTGTACAGCTGTAAAGCTGTATATAAACTGTATATCTTTAAAGCTGTATATAAACTGTACATCTGTAAAGCTGTATATAAACTGTACATCTGTAAACCTGTATATAAACTGTTGTTAGATATTGTATCACACAAGATGCAGTGGTAGAATCTATATGTTTAGCTTATACACAGATTTAAAAATGTGCAGTTAATGTACATTTTTACAGAGTTGCAGTTTATATACAGCTTTAAAAAAGTACAGTTTATATACAGTTTTACAGATGTACAGTTTATATACAGCTTAACAGCTGTAAAGTTTTTATATACAGCTTAACAGCTGTAAAGTTTATATACAGCTTTAAAGATGTACATTTGATATGCATCGTTAGAACTGTACATCAAGATTACTTGTACTAAAGTAGCTGTGTAATACAACTGCATACCAAATATTTTTGACTTACTACTAGTGGTTCACCATAAACTAGACCTAATCACAAACTAATACATTGTTGACGCCGCCGTCGCCGACGCCAGAAACAGCATACCTATGTCTCGCTTTTTGACTCCATCAAGCGAGACAAAAATGCTTCATTTATTTTCCTGTATAATTTGTCTTTGCCATTTCAAAAAATACCTATCCTTCTGTATTGTTTATGCATGTGAGTGTATACAATGACTATCTTTTTAAAATCCTACATCTATACAAAACCCCTACAAATATACTGCTATTGGGTTATTGTCGTCCTGTACTCTAATTAGTCAACATCGTTTCCATATGCAGTGAGCTTAACCACGAAACCTCCCAAACTTAGTCAAAAGCACAGCTCAAGTGCGAGGGGGAAACCGTAAAACAGAAAACTAAACACTCTTGGAATGTAGAATGTGTTAATTAATTCCAAAAGACAAAGTAATACACCGAATATTTTAACAACAGTTATGACAAAGTTCAATTTGCAAATAGAAACGCATAGAAAATATTAAAAAAGACTATGTCTATCATCTCACTTATTTTCTACGTGCTCCATAATTCTGTCATAACTCATGATTAAGGTCACGATCAAACAATCGGAAGTTACATAGCAACTAAATTTTTCGACCAACAATCACCGAATGAAATATTTTTTGTCGATAATACGTAATGGTTTTGTTACAAATGTATTTTAAAAAACGTACACTCAGGACTGAATTGAGTTCTTTTCTTGACATTATAATTACAAGAAACTTGTATGATTTTCCTGTACTACTAGTAGTTTTTATTACATGTCCGTTATGTATATTTGTTTAATTAACTGTTGGTAGAAAAGGTGGTCGTTATCTACTAGTCTATCAAGCCAAGGAGATATGTGCTTAGGACAATTCATGAAATTGTTTCCCCCTCAAGTAATAGGTCGCAAGACATTTTATCGAAAAATTCAAAACTACTAGTAGACATTTAAGCTCCAACATTATAACCCCTTTTCGTGATTGATGATTACGTGCACTAGTATTTTCGGGTTTAAACTGTGATGATCTCAGGTATCCCCAGAAGGGTCAGATCCTGCTCTACATGTGGCACCAGTCATGTGTTTTCCGTGTAACTACAAACCCAGTGGTAAGTCTAAATTTGGTATGACACATTCGAGGGAATGAGGATGGAAATTGAGTTACGACAATCTGTCATGGCGTTCGAATTATTTTTTTCGAAGGGAGATTCTTTGCAGGCAGCAAACTTCTATCAAGAAAATCATGATAAGAAATGCAAGGTATGGAATATCGTTTCAAATAGGGGATATATATTCAATGTGTATACGTAGGCGCTGCTGGAATGTTGCTACATAGAAATTGAAGGTTCGCGTTTGGTAAGATGTACTCTTTTGTACTCTATCGACCCTCATTGTCAATTTCCAGATGTAAGTATGTACTGTGTATGAAATGTCACTGACGATGTTTACATTTTCTGTAAACAAATTGTTTATAAAAATTAGATAATTCTAAACACTAATGTTTTCCTATTCCTAGCCATAGCTTTATTTAGCTAAATTTTAGCACAGCTGTTTTGGAATTTCTGTGCTCTTCAGTTTATTTTGTTCGGCTTTCAAACTGTTGATTCTGGTTGCACTGATGAGTCTTGTGTAAATGAAACACTCGTCTGTGTACTTAAATAAAGTATGTATCTTAACTCAATTTTAAATGTATCTAACAAAACCTGAGACACTATAACAACCAAACAATTCGGGAACTTAGCTTCAAATTTTATTCTTGTTTTCGTTTGACATTCTTTTTCCTATGGCATATTAGGGAACAAAAGTTTAAGAAAAGTTTAAAACAGTAAAAACCCACGACTAGTACAACTGTGATAAACAGATAAATATCGAGCATAAAATAAGAGTACCACGGCATATCTAGTGACGATGGTCTGAAATGTTGTTTTCCATATCTTATTACCAGATCTATCCAATAGGCTGCTCTTTGTGACGGTGTTTGTGGACGACTGTGGAATATTTCAGACGCTACTTTGATATTGCTTATGTAAGTTTTATTAAACGCTACTTTTTCAATTGTTTTAACTAATTCGTCCACAGAAAATTTTAAAATATCCATTGATATTCCATATCCTTTGTCTTCAATAATTGCAGCGTTTGCACCTTGATCGTGAACTATCGGAAACCCTATCATTGGTATGCCATGGTAAAGAGCTTCAAAGACGCTGCTCTTTCCACAGTGAGTGATAAATAATTTCGTTTTGACATGTCCAAGTAGATCATTCTGTGGTAACCATGGCAACAGTAAAGTATTACCTGTTTCTTTTTTATCATCTCCATACTGAAATATAAAACTCAAGTGTTTTGTCTTTTTAAAGGCTAAAAGAAATTTATTCAACATTTGTTCAGAGCATGACTTAATTATACTTCCGAATGAAACGATAACAATGCCTTCTATAGACTTTTCAACAAATGTATCTATCCAAGACGTCAAAGGTTTAGCTGGTCTTGTTCCTAAACCACCACACAAAATAACATTCGGTGAAGTTAAAAGTGGATAATCAATTAAAAAATCGCCATCAATTATCTGTAAAAGAAAGCTATTTTTTAGTTCGCTGTTTGATATTAAAGGCTTTTCCGGAACATACTTGCTGACAAGATTTTCAAAAGAAGGCATTGTTGGTTTGATCAGCTGAATAATATATAACAGGGAATTTAGGACACGTTGTTCAAAAGTCATTTTGTCTGTAAATCCTGACCATAATGCCGGTGTGGTGGCAGGATTAAATGGTATACGATTCAGTAAAGAGTCATAATGTGCACCAATGAAAACAAACGGCAATGAAAGTTTGTACGCAAGGATTTCATAACATAGAATACCAGGAGCGTTGGCAACGATAGCATAGGCAAACTGTTCAGAAGATAAAATTTGGAAAAGCTCATTATCTGTCATTAAGTTATGACAATGTTTAGATGCTCTTTTCAATATTTGAGAAAATGGAAAAGACTGAGAATGATTTAGTTTCTCAGCTACAACTTGTGTTACCATATCCATTGATATATTATCAAAACTTTTTGCTATCACAGATTGCACGGATATTCCTCCCGATCGTATTGCCTTGTCCATGGCGGTAGACAAAACAAATGTTGCTGAGTGGTTGTATTTCTCTAATTCTTTTACAACGTTCAATACAGGCAAGATGTTACTCCATAACGGTGGAACCAGAACAACCATTTTTTTACACTCTACGTCATAGCCGTATAACAAACATATGATGGTTATTGTTTTAATTAATCTTTTCCAACCATACTTCATTCTGAAATACAATATCAAATACAGAGAGACAATATTTATGAATATAAAATCGTTATCTTTATACACAGATAGAAAAATGTGCAAATTTTGATTCGTCTATCAAATAATTAACAAAAAACAATATACTAGTAGTCTAAGACGCTAAGACTTCGTTGGAAACACATCAGCATTTTTTTTAATAAAATAAAAAGTGTTCACTTAGGGCACATCGTTAGCTTAAACTGTTCCACTTGCCGTTGTACTTGCCTCGCTTATTCTGGCTTGTTAAACAATCATATTTCTTTATTATTATTATTATTATTATTATTATTATTATTATTATTATTATTTCAAACAGTTGTTAAATTGATATCTTGATACAGCAATTTCATTTGAATACAGTCACTCTTCTTCAAATGAAGAGGTTTCTGATTACTAGAAAGCTTTTGAACGAATGGTTTTTTGTGGAAAAAAAAGTTGTAGGGCTTAGTCATGGTTTGGTTTGTACATTATTGTTTTGACCATTGATACATTCGTCCAATCGCAAAACCGTCCTCCTTTTATCACAACACCGAAAGCAACTTATCACCGGATTTTCAGTTAATGGAGCAGGATCTGATGACCCTTCCGGATCACTTGAGATCAATTCGGTTGTTTTTAGAGTTTGTATTACTTAGTCCTTAGTTTTCTATCTGAATGTGTGGTGCTTTGTTGCTTTTTGTCTTTTATCTTTTAATTACTACTATTGTGATTTCTATGTTTTTTTCTAGTTCCGAACTGAATTTAAAATTTATGTTTTATTATTGTTAGAAAAGAGATATGGACCAATCTGTATAACGCCTTATCGACCATTATGCCGGATTTTAACTAGAGTAGCAAATTGGGTCACTAGTAATGTAGTTGTAATTGCTGACCCTTTATTTAACGCTCAAATCTAAACTTTTGAAAGCCGGGGATGTAAAAAGACGTAGAAACATTTAAACGAACTAAATGATCAAGGTGAACTTAAAGAGTATAACAACCTTCATCTTAGGTCAACTTTGCATGAGGGATTTGGAATCTTAATTTTTAATAAGTTTCGTGGAATCTTGTTCCTTTGTCTGGAAATTTAAATTTTCCAATTTCCACTTTATTTGAGTTAATGAACGTTGTACGACTTTGCCCCCAGCAGAGCTATAGAAAAACAGTACATTAACGGGTGTTACACGGACACTTTTTAGCTGATACACGGACACTTTTTAGTTGTTACACGGACACTTTTTATGAATAGAATCACTCGTGCATGATCAGTGAGTTCACGGGCACTTTAAATTTCAATTAGATTTGAACTTTTTGTTTCACCGACATATTTCCTGTCTTTTTAATTAAAATATTTACGTTAGCATCAATAACTATATTTTTTTCAAACAATTCCAGTAACTATTCATATTAGTACACTAAGGGATTGACCATTTAACTTCAAAAGGTGGGTTATGGTTTTTTCCTAAAAAACATTTTGATCCCCAATTTTATGAGAAAAATATATAATATATTATATAGTTGAAAAACTAAATAATTTTCTTACTCAGAAAAGAACACACCCCTTTTGAAGCTAAATGGTCTGTCCGTAAATGTTTTTTTTTTTCAATATATGGACATGAATAGTATTCTGGACAATGCTGAAAGAAATGCTGGCACCAACGTTTATACTTCAATAAAAAAGACAGGAAATATATATAAAAAAATCAAATCTAATCAAAAGATAAAATCCCTATCAACTCACCAATGCACGATTGATCCTATAAACACAAAGTGTCCGTGTCCGTGTCCGGGGTCTGGAATGGCACATCCTGCATTCTTTCAACAAAAAAAAGGATGAAGCCTGTTTATTTTAAATTTATTTTACCCCCCCCCCCCCTTCCCCCCCCCCCCCCCCCCCCCCCCCCCAATATAAATCAAATGGTAGCTTGCTTACCTCTGAAATCTTTTTTTATACATTACTTACTTGCGAAGTTGCATTTCAAAAATTCTCAAATGTGTATAACATTCACCTTTAACGTGAAATGGTTCTTTTTATAAAGTTATTAGATTCTTGAATTTTTTGAGAAAAAAACTCTCGGCTGAAGGGAAGTGAGAAAAAAAAATTGAGTTTAAACTGTAACTTACATTATCTGGTATATGGCCATTTAAGTTTCTAATATCTTTAGTTTTGCTACCTCTTCTAAATGCAAAATGTACTTCTTCCTTCTTGAAACGTCGTACAAGTCAGATACAAAACAAAGGTAACTAAAAACAGGCCGGAAACAACCTGCCGTATAGTTTGTCTGCACTTGTAGTCAGGTCAAGGTCCTCGGCTATCGCCTCGGACCTTGACCTGACTACTCGTGCAGAAAAACTATCCGGCAACGGTTGTTACCGGCCTGTTTCTTTGTTACCTTTGTATTGTATCTAATACGTACAGGCATAGACGGGTATGCTTCCCATGTCGACGCATCCAGTCAGGTTTCTTTTGTAGTGCATGCGATCCTCATGATTTTTGTCTGATTTGTTTTTATCTGTTCGACTTTCGAGATTTGAACATCGGTCAACTAATGTCCTTAAGTGTTAAAAGAAAATATGTTGACGCATAATCCCTCTACCTCTAGCATATTACAAGTTTGCGAACAAATTTATCAAAGTATCGCTTGTTCCAATGTTTCTGCTTTATCATTGTTATAATTTACCTAAAAGTACTAACATGAAATATCTCAAGTTTTAACAGATTTTTCACAAACTAAATCAGAAATAAGTTTATTTACCTGGAGTTGCTGATAATTAAATTGTCGAATGGATCTTAATTGATGCCTGTATTAACTCATCACATTATATCTTAATGTAGGTCTAACATTTAATGCAGTCAGAACAAGGTTATGAACAAACCCATATGAGTGTATTGAACCTGCACAAGGTATAGAATTACGACAGTCGTAAATAGGTCATTTAATCACGTTTCAAATACAGTGAATGTCCTCAGCCAGTTCAAACCAGCGTCCATCTTTATTTAACTTGTGTGCGATATTGTTTTTTTTATGTTCTGTTGCATATTAAAGCATGGAAATTCTTCCTGTTATATGATATATCCTAACCGTGTTGTACCGATAAGAATTTGTTTCTCGTTTTAAACATTGTAGTTATGTTCATAAAACATAAATCGTCCAAATACTTATCCGGTAAACGACGTGAACAAATTGTTATTTAATGTTGAAATGCACATTTGGTACATTAGAGACATAGGAAACGAGTTTCTTGTAATTATAATATTGAGGAAAATGTTGAACTAATGCATGAATAGTTACTAAAATAAGTCCTATGTGCACGGTTTTTTTTTACATCTATTACGAATCCATATCATTTAATCGACAAAAAAAAATCCATTTAGTGATTGTTAATCGAAAACTTTGGCTGCAAATTTACTTTCGGGTTTTGTAACAATCGTATAAACCAACAAACACTGGCATTTTAGCATGAAGTATTGTAAATTCATTTGATCTGAAGTAATTTCACCTGAAAAACTGTATGTACGTGCATGGATCCATTGAAATTATGCTGAATATATTTCAGAACTATGACCCCGTATAACGTCCATCATGCATATTCTGAACACACCGACCGTGACTAATTATAAAGGAAGGAGATGTTTACTCGTGCTTCGATTTAATTTATTTACAATGAAAACCACCCAGGCAATATGTGGTCATCAATAATGCACAACAATTAAATTGACATATTTCACAACAAACAAAAAGCAAATAAATGTTTATTCTAAAGATAATTGTTTCAAACCATCAAATAAATCAACTTTTGTGCTTTGAAGGTCGTGAGTATCGATAGTCCATTATATTTTTTGACGGGATTTTAGAACGTAGATAGTGTTTGTTTCATAAGTTGAGCTGTACTTTAAGTAATTGATGAAATTTTGTAGCTAGGTCATTTCCTCTTGCAAATTCTAACCAGAATTGGCTGGTTACACAACGAAATTTGTAAAGACGATAATTTTTGTATATAGTGGTTACGACATATTTATTTACTTCACTAAACTTTATGCTGTGGCTTCATCGACAATTGTATTGTCAAACTTCAGTCGCTACAAATCTGAGGATTTCATAAACGTCACAAACGTTATGACTTTACATCTATATTTTCAAAAGACAAAAAGATGCAAAAGAATAAACATTTATAATTCTTATATGATTTGCATATCTATAAATACTTGAAACGGATTGGTCAATTAGAATTTTTTACCTTGGTTTACACTTCGATAAACCATGTTTCCGAAACTACTTTCGTACCATCTATTCATGCGCGATACACATGCATATGCAGGGAGTCCGGGATTTTCAGCAAATTGAGATTGAAAAACAAAAACATAACAGGTTTTTTTCTATTTTAATGCATATGTAACCAAAAAAAATATTGCATTAAAGCTTTAAAAAGCATAAAATTAAAATTCATGAAAAATTTCGCGAAATTTCATGAATGATTTAGCGCATTTACGTCATGGCAAAACACGACGTCATACAAATGAAAACTTTCAAGCGAAAGATTATTTCGTTACTTGTGCGCTTCAAATTCGGATAATATCTCATTAAAATGCAGTTTTTGAGGTAGGTGCTATTTCATTTTAGATTCTGTTGCATTTATCGAACATTTACGGATTTTAGAAATTCAATATGGCGGCTAACTCCTTAGTTACGACATGTGCATTGTAGTAGCCATCAAACAAAAAATCTTAACTAAAAATCGCGAATGTTTGGCTGAAGAATTATAAGGATTTAACACATTTTTTCTAGAGGTTATTGATGTGTAAACCGGGGCTCTTACTCACAAACTTAACATAAAAGTCCTTCGGACTTTTATTCAGTTTGTGAGTTAATCGCCCCGGTTTACACATCAATAACCTCTAGAAAAAATGTGTTTAATCCTTTAATGAACAAGTCCATAATAGATATTGTGAAGCTTTTGATATGTTCCAGATGTCGTAACTACAATCCCGTCCCCTTTTACCCGAATGTGACCAACCAAATTAGACTTATTACCGGGTGTGTACTAACATGAGCAACACGACGGGTGCCACGTGTAGAGCAAGATCTGCTTATTCTTCCGGACCACCTGAGATCACCCCCAGATTTATAACGATGTAGGACCAATCGATTGTTGTGGGGTATTTGCTACCTTTTGTATTCAACTCTGAAAATCAACTCAATCAATTCTTTACAAATAGTTGTTTAGTGTTAACTCAATCAATTCTATTACTTCAATTTACTGGGAGCACAATCGTTACAATCGTAATCAATCGATACAATCGTGATCGAATTAATCCATTCTATTCCTTAAATTTACTAGGGGCACGATTGTATCAAACCTATGCAATCTTTACGATCGTGCCACAGTTGATCAACTCAATCGATTATATACCTTCAATTTTCTAGGAGAACGATTGTATCAATCGTATTTAATCGATACGATCATGCCACCGTTGCTGAACTTGATCGATTCTACTTCAATTTACTTTGAACACGATCTTATCAATCGTATTCAATCGATACGATCAACTTAATCGATTCTATTACTTCAAATTACTAGGAGCACAATCGTATCAATCGTATTCAATTGATACAATCGTACCACAGTTAATCAACTCAATCGATTATATTACTTCAATTTACTTGGGGCACGATCGTATCAATCAATTCTATTACATAGATTAACTAGGGGCGCGTTCGTATCAATCGTATTCAATCGATACGATCGTGCCACAGTTGATCATTTCATTCGATTTTATTCCTTGAATTTACTAAGGGAACTGTTGTATGAACTGTAATCAATAAATATAATCGTGCCACCGTTGATCAACATAATCGAATCTATTACTTTCTTTTTAGAAGTAGGGGAGTCGTTATTTCTGTATCTGTACTGATCTGAAGAGTTGGATGAATAAAATAACATTTCCTGTTATATTGAAAGTTAATTGCATCGACAGCTGAGGTTAATGTTTTCGATTGTGTCGATTGTAATGATCGTGCCTTCCATATTAGTAAAAAGTTGATTGAAGGGCACGATCATATTGATTGTATTCAATCGATACAATCGTGCCATAGTTGATAAACTTTTTTGTTTGAAATGAAATAGAATGAAATAGTTCAATCGGTTTTATTTCCGTTTCTGTATCAATTTGAAGAGTTGGATTAATAAATTGCATTTCAAATCATATTGAAAAGTTAATTACATCGACATGCAGCTGAGGTTAATATTTTTTTTCGATCGTTTCGATTGTAATGATCGGGCCTTTCTTATTAGTAAAATATTGATTGAATAGACAGCCGATGTTCAATCGTGATCGATTGTGTCGATCGTAACGATCGTGCCTTTCATATTAGAGAAGGGTTGATTAAATCGACAGCCGATTTTCAATCGTAATCGATCGTATCGATCATGCCTTCCAAATGAATGTTAAGTAAATCGATTCTATTACTTCAATTTACTAAAGGTACGATCGTATCGATCGTATTCAATCGATACGATCGTACCACAGTTGATCAACTTAATCGATTTTATAACTTCAATTTACTAGGGGCACGATCATATTGATTGTATTCAATCGATACAATCGTGCCATAGTTGATCAACTCAATCGATTCTATTACTTTTTTGTTTGAAATGAAATAGAATGAAATAGTTCAATCGGGTTTTTTTTCCGTTTCTGTATCAATTTGAAGAGTTGGATTAATAAAATGCATTTCAAATTATATTGAAAAGTTAATTACATCGACATGCAGCTGAGGTTATTATTTTTTTTTCGATCGTGTCGATTGTAATGATCGGGCCTTCCTTATTGGTAAAATGTTGATTGAATCGACAGACGATGTTCAATCGTGGTCGATCGTATCGATCGCAACGATCATGCCTTCAATAGTATTTTGAAGAGTTAATTGAATCGACAGGTGATGCTCAATTGTATTCGCTTGTGTCTCCATTTTGATTAGATGGGTTGATTGAATAGACAGCTCATATTCAATCGTAACGATCGAGTCTCTTCTGTGAAGTGGACATAATTATAAATTAACTGTTTACAAAGCTTTGAATTTTTCGAATAACTAAGGATTTTCTTCCCCAGGAATAGATTACCATAGCTGTATTTGGCAAAATCTTTTTGGAATATTGGTTCGTCAGTGCTTTTCAACTTCGTACTTTATTTGGCCTTTTAAAATTCTTTGATTCGAACGTCACTAATAAGTTTGTTGTAGACGAAACGCGCGTCTGGCGAACAAACTTTTAATCCTGGCATCTATGATGATTTTATTTTATCATTTTGATGGGTTGGTTGATTCGACAGCAGATGTTCAATTGTTATCGATTGGGTCATTCTTGACGATTTAGAATTCTTTCAAATTTTGATGAATTGACGAGTTGATTGAATGGATAACAGCAGTTCAACTGTTGTCGAATCAATAGATTGTCGAATACTGTACCTTAATGCGCGGTATAGCCATGAACTGATGCGGCGTAAAGTAACCACCAATCAATTAATCAGGGAGTATATTAATCTTTAAAAAAACAGACTACAAATAATTGAAAATGCAATAGAATTTTTGGTATGGTACCAAAAAAAGTTTCTAGAAAATGTGCAAACAAATAATTACTTAAATTTTCAAACTTGGATAATAATTGTTCACTTTTTTATATAGTCACTTAAAACCGAAATAAAGCTTGAAGACCACATGTATTTATTAAATAGACTAGGTTTTAAAAGATACAATTAGTCACAAAAATGCATGTCGCCGTCCATGACTGAACATTAAAAATTTAAGGAAACCCAGAATATGCAATGAACTTGAATGACTATCATGATGTCCTTCATTGTAAGCATTCTACAAAAAAAAATTTTAAAAATCCTTATTCAAAGAACTTCGAAAACCAAGATTGAATTTTGACAAAGTTTAATAAAATTTACAATTCCCCAAAAATGAACCTTTCCCAGCTTTCCACAACGTCGGTACTAATGTCTATAGCATTCACCAGAATGGTAATCTACACATTTCACAATACTGACTCTATAAGCAGTTTCCGAGATATTGTCTTTGTTATAATTTTTTACGAATAAAAGATGTTGAAGTGTCGCCTTTCGTCAAAATGTTAACTTTTATGACCTATATATGTAATGGAAATATCTTCATGAGCTTTATCTTTCAGGTATTTTACAGTAGAATAAATAGAAGGCGAGTGATTTTCTGTTTAGATATTCATGATTGAAGTCATACTTTTGGTTTTTTTTTTCAAGCATTGATGTTTCAAGAAAAATGTGGATTCCCGAGATGTGTCTATATATATATATACATACGTGCTCATGAACGAATATGGTGATGCTAAAAAGTAATCTGGAAGTTTTCAAAACTTTTGGTTATGGTGACTAATAGTAATTCAAAAAATATGTGTGTTGGTTTTTTTTCCTTCAACGGAATTACATACAATGTCTTGTCTGGGTTTTTTTAAGGTCGCAATTTCAAGATTCGAAAAGTTGAAATTTCGAGTTAAAGTCGAAATTTCAAGATTTTAAATGTCAAAATTTCGACCTTGAAAAAAGAGTTCAATGTCAATTTTATTTTTGCTATGTCCCTAATACGATTTCATATGATCTGCATCTTGGTAGACATTAAATGTTATTTTTCTATCTTTGTTGTGAATTTTTGTAAAAATAAATGTGGCTATACATGACTAAAACTTCGGTAGGGTTAATTTGTTTGGTGTCGATTTAGGCTTAAAATTTAAAAGTTACAAAATACACTGGGTCATACATCTGTGTTAACGACCTAAAACTATTTAAATTCAAATGTCATTTGATATACGGGTAAGTTTGAAATTTCGTGACGGTGAATCGTTACGTTCAAAAAGTATTAGCCCGTGTAACATTGAAACACCAATTGTTTAAAATCATTTATCAGAGACATTTATCTGCATTTATGAACACAAATAAGTTAAAAGACGGTCATAACTTTTTGTTTCGACTGGTTCTTGTTTTTTTCTTCATGTTTTCCTTTTTTAATCAAAGCAGAAACATATATATATAAGATATACTGTGAAAGTTAACTAGTTCTATTTCTCGACTGCCATCAGTTGTACAGCATATAACTGGACCAGCTGACTTGGGAAAGGCATATTCAGAATTTGGCGGGGTAAAACATGTTTGTGAGCGCTCAACCCCCTTTTCTTAAACTTCTGCAGGGTCAGTCATCTGACATCACAACAAAAGATCCAACTGAACAAAAATCTGTTGGAAATACCTTATATCAACAGATTGGTATCAATGGAGTCATATAAATATAGCATTCGTCACAACTCGGCCGATTCCGTATCTTCATCTGGAAGGAGAGTATCGGATTCACCCGGGGCCTCGGTGGCCGAGTGGTCTAAGTAGTTACTAATGTAATCACTAGCCAGTCAACACAGGTTGTGAGTTCGAACCCCGCTTGTGCGGGTGCGCTCGACTCCAATCTTAATTGACTAGGATTGTCAGTTTTCCTATCGAAGGTCGGTGGTTTTCTCCGGGCACTCCGGCTTCCTCCACCAATAAAAACTGGCCGCCACGAAATAGCCCAAAAGCGGTGCTTAAAAGTGGCGTTAAAACACCAAAAATCAATCAATCAATCAATCGGATTCACCCGAGGATTGCCGATTGATATATATAGATATATGAATAGGTATCGGGTTCGTTCGCTCCCAAAACACATGAATATATGGCTATCTGTAATAGTTATCCCATGAGGACGTGGTGTGTCTGTGTAAGATCACCCCGATTGCCGGAGGCCAGAGGGTGATCTTACACTGACACACCAAGTCCGAATGGGATAACTATTTTACATCCCAGCTGTTTTAGATTAGGCGAAAAACCATTTACAATTCATAAAATCTAGTTTAGAACGCCACACAGGGGCAGTCTATACTAGCTCAGACTGTCCCTGCGCCACACAACTATTATAATAAATATACTTTATATATTACTGTATAATATATACCCTTTATGTCCCCCTAACACGATGTTTAAATATGAAACCATATCAACTCGCCCCACTGGCCAATCGGCCCACACTAAATCGCCACTTTCTAAAAAATCGCCCAACTCTTGTTTAACAACTCACCCCACTTATGAATAAGGGTAAAATCCCATTGAACAATCAGTCTGACAACTCGCCTTATTTATGAAAAGGGTTAAAATCCCACTGAATAAAGGTCTGCCAACTCGCCCCACTTATGAAAATATCTTGCTTCCTTTAAATATGTTAAATTACTAAAAGTTGGTATCCAGTCGTCCTGGTCTAGGGGTATGTGTCGTGGGTTGATATGCTAAAGGTCTTGAGTTCGAATCCCAGCATAGACAATGGATGTTTTCTACATGAAGTTTGAAAGTGTGTCTTATCTCAATAAATATTTCTAAGTTTTATTGTGGATTAGGCATTCCCGCCAAAATGTTACAAAACAAAGGAAAGCATGCAAAACAAATTTAAAGAAACTCAAGCGGGGTGATCTGATTGGGACCCTAGTAGAACAAAGGAGCTGGGATGTTGTTGTTATTCAGGTTTTGTCTTTCTAATATTTCGGACACCGAAGTGTTCTCATTTTGCGCTGCTTTTTTATTCTAATCATGATAATCAAATGGTTGAACTTCAAATTTGAATGAAGTTTGATTGTATATATATATTTGGATGATTTGTGCAAAGTACAACATTAAACATTTCATATTTTTGTCAGACCAAAGTTTTTTTTTTGTTTTTTTTTGTGCTGACGAAATATAAGTTCATACAATTTTATATGTCCATAACGCTTATAAATACTTCAAACTTTGTAATGCAAAAACATGCCAGACATGATGCATTTTGCCGGAAAAAGATATTCAACTTTACATTTTGATTTTGAACGAATGTCTTCAACAGTTCTAACGTAATATGCTACTGTCCTGGTGATTTTTTTATCCTGTAAAAGACAAAAGAAATATTTATAGCATTTTGACTTTTTGGAAGGATTATTCCCTAAACTTTATAACTATACAAAAATATCATAATCTTTTTAAACTTATTAATTTCTAATTTTTGAAAACACTACAAATAATAAAAAAAAAATCCTGTTCTTTACTATACTTTTGACAATATATTGAGTTAAACAAAAGTTACCATTAGTGGCAAGGTTCCGGTGAAAAAAAGTATCAAAAATGACTGTCTTGTTTTAAGAGGGGCGTAAAGGGGGGTTATCTGCACGGAAGAACGCGAAATAAAATTCAAGTGCCATTTCACGATGAACGAACAATTAAAGTTTCTTGCACGTTGATCTTTTTACCGATATCACGGAACACGGTGAAAAACGAACGTTTTTCACGGCTGCACGTGAAATAAAAATGGCAAAACAGGTTGCACGAAAATAACCCTTTACCTCCCTCTTTTAAATGGAATGTTAACCTTGTAGTTCGGTACCAAACTACCAAATATTAGAACTATCCTAAAGGGAGACTACTGTCGATACAAGTGGCGGGAAACGTAAAAAACATTATATAACTGTATAAGTTATAACTCATCACAATGGTTGAAGGGCCTGGTTGTAAAATAAAAGGAGAGAAAATAAAAGGAAAACTAAATGGAAAGATTGTAAAATCAGTTAACGGAAATGCAGTAGATAAGGTTCTCTAAGAGTTTTCGAACTTTTCTATATTTTAAGGTTCATCATGACATAACAAATGGACAAAAATGACTGTGTTTACACAGGGGTTTGTTGCAATTTCCCGGGTTTACTATCCATACGAACCCCGAGAAAATCACAAGGGAAGAAAAAGTTAGTGAAAGTCTTAGAAAAATTTTGAAACAATAATTCGAAGCAACGTCGCAAATGAGCTTCCTCCCTTGTGATATTTTCGGGGTTCGTATGGATAGTAAACTCGGCAAATTGTAACAAACCCTTGTGATGTTTACATACACTATTCCAAATAATTATGACTCTTTCTACAATGAAGGCGTCACAGAAATAAAATTAAAATAACCTTTCAAGACGTCATAATTATTTGGACTATGTTTACACATAAAAAACTACTCTAAGTACAGACTAACTTGTGTAGTTGGAAAAGTTTTACGGACTGGCATCCACTAGATATATAAAAGTTGCATGCATTTTGTTTTTTTAGTTAGGCGAAGAGGTAATATGATAAAAGCTTTTAAAATTATAAAAGGAATCTTAAGATATATCTTATGAAAGATTTTTTACTGTCATCAGGACAAATACCCGTGGGCATAATTGGAAATTAGCAAAACCTAGATGTAACACTTCTTTTCGTTTAAGACATTTTTCACAACGTATTATAAATGATTGGAATAACCTACCAGTTGAAGTTATCTCTTCAAAAACTGTGGAAGCTTTTAAAATTAGAATAGACCGTCATTGGGAGTCAGTAATGTATCAGTTCAGTAATTGATGAGGACACAAATAGTTTTTCTATAACTTTTTAATTGTGTGAAATATTGCACCAAACCATGCAGGATTGATGTTTGTATCAGTTATAAAAGTGTACCAAAATAAGAAGGGCTAAAAAGGATAGGATCCTTCCATATGAGCCCCACAACGATCTTACAGGATCTTGCAGGAAAGATAAAATCTTTTTTTGATTTTGATGGGCATTTTTTTTCGTTCCTGCTGTTGGTGTAAATATTGTGAAAATATTTGAAATTCAACGGTTCCAAAAAAAATATTTTGTGCAGTTATGTAGAAAAAAAGTTCTTGTGAAATAGGAGCACTGTCAGTCAGGGGTACTTCTTGTACAAGTAACTTTATTTACTTGAAGAAGTAAATATTAATATACTTATATAAGTAAATTTATAGGATACTTATACAAGTGAATTTTATTTACTTGTATAGGTAAATTATTTTTTGGCTTAGTTATGTCCCTTAGACATTCAGATTTTTTTACTTATACAAGTAAAAAAGTCATCCTATCTTCTTTTCTTGAATTTCTTAGGACTTCTTTGCTCTAATAGAATTTTTAATTGTCTGTCCTTTGCAGATGTCTTTACTAATCATTTAAGTGTAATTTCATGGACAATGAAAATCTCATTTGTCTATTATCCTCAGAACACTGCTCATTTACAAGCCCCCAAGGGGCAATTTTTGAAGGCCTTGATCTTTGCGCAATTAGTTTCTTTGTTGGATTAATGTGATGAAACAATGAACTGTAATCAATAATTATTAGCTAACCTGAGAAAAATTGTTAAAGGCATGTTTTTACATCTCAAAACTTGAGATTTTTCGGGATTGTAAAAAAAAAAATCACTTATACAAGTAAATTTTTGAGAAAATTAAGGGGAGATTATTCAAACATTATAATTTTCTGATATAAGTATATTTTTATTTACTTCTTCAAGTAAATAAAGATTACTTGTACAAGTAGTACCCCTGACTGACTGTACTAAGTGGGGAAAAAAAATAGATCATAGAGAAAAATAGATAAAATTCATTCTGAATTGAAAATTTAATTTGAAATTTACATGCATTCATGGTTGCTGAAATTACAATTACACATCCTCGCCCCAGAGTATGTGTTCTATCTGGACTAATTTATCAAGGAGAGTTTTCCCTCAACACAGCAGCTGACAAGATCAGTCTCTGTTCTGCCTTAGAGCCTATACAACAGACACAAGAAACAGAAGGATAAAACAACTTATATAGGGCTATGAGAAGAAGACAGTGAAAAGAATCGTGATGCTGCACTACAAAAAAAACATAATTTGAAAATGTGTTGTAAAATTTTGTAGGTAAATTTAAAAAATGATATTATAGTTGCCTGCAATTTAGTATATACTTTAGTACACATGTATTTGGAATATTAACACCATATAATTAACCTATTTACACATTTGAAAGGGGTGCTAGGTTAAAAGGTACTAAATTTATAATCATTTTTCTAGGAGATTAAGCCAACTAAAGGTATAACAACATCACAGTTCCATCAGCTGATCGGTCGGAGGTTAGATGAAGTACAGACAGTAGGAAAAGAGCTCTTCATGTACTTTGGAGACATATGTCTAAGGTTTGATTCATTATGTTGTAAAAGCGCTTTTCAAGCTTTGGCCATTATACAAGTAAAATGTGCTTACGGTTTTCATTCCCTAAAAGTAAAAATTAAAGGATTTGAAAGTACTTGGTGTTGGTTGGGATTAAACTAAAAATGAAAGCCCCAATCCAGACATCCAGAACATATGTTTTCACTCAGTCCTGTTCTACCATTTAATTTGTCAATAAACACAGTGGGGTTTTTTTTCAGCCTTATATTACATATTTTCAAAAAGTTGAATCCATTAACTTAGAAACCCATAAGGATAATGGTTTTTCCACAAACCAAGACAAGACAAAGAATGGTAGTGTGTATTAAAGCTGAAAATCCCTTCAAACATATACAAAAAGAAAAAGCCACACTTTAAGAGCTGTTGTTCATCTCTATTTTACAGTGAGGCCTTCAACAAGTAATAACTGCATTAATGAACATTTTTACATCTTGTATATATATCCTTGAGATATACATTTGTAAAGCATGAAGATTTTTTTAATTATTTGTACTTTTCTTAATAAATAACAAACACATATTCATTCAACAAACATTTAAATTTCAACGACATTCACATTGTATTCAACTTTTTGTTTAAGTTTACTTCCATGCATGTATACTTTCACTTTCTATTTATACTTACCATGGTCAGTCAGGGGTACTACTTGTACAAGTAATTTTTATTTACTTGAAGAAGTAAATATTAATATTCTTATATAAGTAAATTTGTAGGATACTTATCATGCTTATACAAGTGTATTTTATTTACTAGTATACAGTGTTTTCCCTAGGCTATTCAAGCATTGCGGTACCGCTACGCATAAATTTTGACCGCCATGCTTTCATCATTGCCGCAATGCATCCCGCTATCTGTGAAAAGTATTACTGTGTAAAATATTTATTATCGATATTTTGAAAGTGAAGTGACAAGTGACAACACTCCACAGGTGTTTTAAACTCATCCAACTGATAATTGGATGCATCACGTCGCGCGTGCCGTGATTTTACAAGACTTTGGTTACATAATAGCAGTTGCCAGTTAGCTGATAAATAAATTTATATAGTCAGATTAATCTCCAATGCATATGCTTTCTGTGCTAAATAAAAAGATTAACCTTTTCCAGTATAAATTTCACCTTTAAAAATAAAACGGGTGTTTGACATCGTTATTTTACTGTGATCTTTTAAAAGTAGAAATTTAAATTTAGGTATAGTCTCTGGTATTATAAAAATAAAACTAATGTAATTTCACAGAGAATGGACAAAAAATTTTTTTCTAATAAAGTTTCGCAGTTATTTCCTCCAAACGTTTATACAAATCCTTGTTTCCTCAGCTATATTCACATCGATGAATAATTTTTTGATTGGTCACAACAATCAATTATTTTTAGATTAGCCGCGGTTGATTGATTACAATGTATATCAAAGAATACACATCACCGCCACTGGGCTGAGAAAAAGACGTGTCTTATGAAATATTTAAAAGATTTGATAGAAAAACTTTCCAAACATACGAAGTTATTTATGGAAATATTGTTTTTAATAAACTTCTGTTGTTCTATTTCAATTTCAATGGGTCACAAGCTTAAGTGCAGCGGATTCGTTTGCCGTTTTTTACACAAGTGGGGCTAAATTTTTTTCACTTCGGCAAGATAGGCTTTTTACAATTATGAAGCATTATAAATAAATTGGACAGGAATGTATTTAAAAGCAATAGTTAATTGTCATGAAATAAAATGTCAGCTTAGCTTCCAAACAAGTAATTGCCAAATATGTCATCCGTTTGTCCGTATGTCAGGTATTCTTCATTGACAACTTCTGTAATTAAGACAAATAAACTTTTGATGCCACCTACGATAGTAGAGGGGCATTATGTTTTCTGGTCTGTGCGTTCGTTCGTTCGTCCTCCTGTGCGTCCGTCCGTCTACCCCGCTTCAGGTTAAAGTTTTTGGTCAAGGTAGTTTTTGATGAAGTTGAAGTCCAATCAATTTGAAACTTAGTACACGTGTTCCCTATGATATGATCTTTCTAATTTTAATGCCAAATTAGAGTTTTGACCCCAATTTCACGGTCCATTGAACATAGAAATGATAGTGTGAGTGTGGCATCCGTGTACTATGGACACATTCTTGTTTTTATTGTTTCCTGTAAAATCTCTGTGAAGTAATGATGATATTCAAAGTGTTATTTAACAACTTGCTGTTGATGCTGAAACCATTCTGTCAGCAAAATTCGAAGAACAATCATCATTTTAACAACCATGTCCAAGCAACCATCAAAGAAACGTCGCCTTACTGGTCCAACTTTTTTGACAAGTTGGTTAGAGAAGTCTACTCCTTCATCAAATTGTAGTCAGACAGATGAAAATCATCACCATGAGCAAAAGCCTTGAAGTTGAAATTCAACCTTCAGCAGAATGCACTGAAAGTCAACATGTACCAACAGACCAGGGACTTTCTATACTAGACTGTCCCTGAACAGACACAAGAAACTTTACCAGTACCATTGTATCACTGAAAGAAAATACGAGAATCACAAAAGATCCAAGTATCTTTGTCTGTCTAAGTTTTGCCAGTTTCAACAGCTGATTGTGAAAGGTGTTTTTCATGTTTAAACAGAGTTAAAACACCTTTGACATGTTTGAGAAACAGACTTTGCCAAAAAGTGCTGAATTCATGCTTAATGCATATATGCATATATCAATTGAAGGACCAGAGGAGGAAGATTTTTGATTTTGAAAAAATGTATGTTGACCTTTGGAAAGTTGAAACAGAGGAAGATATCAACAAACTAATGTGTACATGACATTAATTTGTAAATAACTATTGCAGACTGGATTATTTTTATTATTTTTATTATTGTTTATATAAGGTCTTTCATTAATTCCTCTCATCTGTGATAAATACTTTAAAGTTCCATGACTTATATGAATTGCTGTACCTATAATAAAACAATTAGATTGGTATATGGCTTTAAACATATAAAATATGTAGCGTAACTAATTCTGAAAAAGAAGCATCACGCGCCGCGTTGCAAATTCACCATGGACCCACCATGCATGAAAAATTTTCTAGGGAAGACACTGGTATAGGTAAAAAAAATTTGGGCTTAGTTATGTCCCTTAGACATTCAGATTTTTTTACTTATACAAGTAAAAAAGTCATCCTATCTTCTTTTCTTGAATTCTTAGGACTTCTTTGCTTTAATAGAATTTTTAATTGTCTGTCCTTTGCAGATGTCTTTATTAATTATTTAAGTGTAATTTCATGGACAATGAAAATCTCATTTGTCTGTTATCTTCAGAACACTGCTCATTTACAAGCCCCCAAGGGGCAATTTTTGAAGGCCTTGCGCAAATACTTAAGGTCATTGCGCAATCAGTTTCTTTGTTGAATTAACATTAACATGAGATGAAACATTGAACTCTAATAAAAAATTATGAGCTAACCTGAGAAAAATTGTTAAGGGCATGTTTTTACATCTCAAAACTTGAGAATTTTTGTGGGATTGTCAAAAAAAATTACTTATACAAGTAAATTTTTGAGAAGATTAAGGGGAGATTATTCAAACATTATAATTAACTTGTAGAAGTATATTTTATTTATTTCTTCAAGTAAATAAAGATTACTTGTACAAGTAGTATACCTGACTGATGGTTACATTGTGAAGTAATTTATGCATAGTCTCTCTCAGAGATTCAATTGCATTATTATCAACCGCATATCATCATTATGGTTGGAATGAATCTACATGCTCATTTGAAATACATACACATAAAAAGAAATTTAGAGAACATGTCATTGAGATAGCAACCCAACATCATAAGTGAACTAAATAGACATTTACAGATCATCATATGACCTTCAACACAGAAAGAACACAATTCCAAACAGGTGAGTAAATTCAACTGAAAGGGCTCATATCTGATATCAACACAAATTAGAATCCTAGGTAGACTAATCAACTGAAGAGAGAGGAGTGGTTGGAATATTATTCAACCATATTTTGTACTTATAATCTCATTATATTTTTGTCTGACTTGTGACTAGAGCTGTTGAAATACAATATAAGGTATTGGTGACACAGGCCAAACTTATCTGTGTGTAAACAGTTATTAAATATTTTTGATTTGGTGAAGATTGCATGAAACATATGAAATGCAATCAAAACCCTTCTACCATGTATACCATTGGCTTAATAGTTATATATTCTAAGCCTCATCTTTATCTTTGAGAATTCAAATAACATAGTGCAAGAGGTTAACATTATCAAGATCATATCCATGCCCATGCTTAATTGTATATATTCTAAGATATTCAAGTTATCAAAATGATGTGTATGTGTATAACCATACTTGTCAAGAAAACTATCTTATTGAAAATAACATGTTCATTGCATATAAAATGTATAACATTTTCTGTTCTGAAAAAAAAAGTTCAGCTTCAATTATCATGATTATAGAAAAAGAAAGATGACTCAAATTCAAAATATTTCCTAAATGTTTTAGATTGCAATTCAATATTCTATTTTAAGTTCACATTGTAAAATGAAAGCAGACTTTACCCTTCAGTGCTTACAAGCACTTTGATATTGAACTGATTATTATTATGTTTGTGCATTGAATCAATTTGTTCATTTCTCTTTCAGAGTGCACTTCCTAATGGCAGGGTCATTTCTTGTGAACAACAAAAAGTTGGATCATGATCATGGAGGAACTGCAGAAACGGCTTCTCTTGAAATACAACTCTCTGAAGACAAATTAAGTTTCTATAAATCTGGTGTTAACATCAGGTAAATTATTGACCCTTATGTCATTGTTGCAGAGTTACAAATAATAACAGTAAAACAAGTAAAATAAGTTCATTAGATTTTCATTTTGCTACAAGCAAGAATTACAGCCTCCATGTTTTATGATAAATTCTAAATGTATAACTCTGCTAGCTGACTTGTTCTTGTTCTCACATGAAGCATAACTTATACAAAACCATCTTATAGACAAGACTAAAAGATATAGATCTACCAAAAATTCTTTAATTTCAATGTTCGATATATTGATAATATTTTTATGCCCCCGTCGTAGGCGACAGATGCATTAAGTGTTACACTTGACCGTCCGTCCTTCCGTCTGTCCCTTTTTTATTTCCACACTCTGACTTAGGTTGCCTAATGCAAATTTTATTATACTCGTACACAAAACTGAGAACCACAACACACAGACAAGAGTTGGATAGTGAGTTGCCTTCCGTTCTAGAGTTATACCCCTTTTTAACTTCGAACACATTCTTCTTTTATTTCTTTAAAAAATTCTTTGCATACAGAGTACTTAAATCTCATATTGTAAAACAACAAGAAAATGTGCTTTATGTAACACATCTTTTTACCTGAAATTGATGCTGATAGACAACTATGGCAAACAGGATGACTGTAGTTTTCAAATATTCAACTTCCTATTCTTGAGTAGAAATTTACCATTTGGCCTGGTCTTCAGCTTTACTGTATCAATGGATGGATTTCCCTGAACAATTTAAGGAATAGAAAATGTCTCTGACCACCCATATGTTTATTTTTTTAACCCAAACTTTCTAAAAACAATGTTGATTTTTATAAAGAACCCTGACTGAAAAGGTATAAGCATGGTCAATGTTGTGGAAAACATTATGACCCCCTCTAGATCTCCTCCCCCAGAAAAAATGAAGAAAAACAAAAGAAAAGTAATATTAAACAAATATGTTTTTTTCTCTAAAATTAGAGTCTAGACAAAAATATTCTGAATTCTCTATAAGATTGAAATCAGTATTTTATAGTGAGATTACTTAACAAAATTTAATATGATGTTACTTATTAGATATATAATGTTTTTTAGCTCACGTGGCCCGAAGGGCCAAGTGAGCTTTTCTCATCACTTGGGGTCCGTCGTCCGTCGTCTTCGTTAACTTTTTACATTTTGAACTTCTAGAGAACCACTGAATGGAATGAAACCAAACATGGCATGAATGTTCCTTATGAGGTGCTGACCAAGTGTTGTTACTTTGAAGCCGATCCATCATCCAAGATGGCCGCCAGTGGGGGACTTAGTTTAACATAGGACCCTATGGGAAATACATACAAATGTCTTCTTTTAGAGAACCACTGAATGGAATGAAACCAAACATGGCATGTATGTTCCTTATGAGGTGCTGACCAAGTGTTGTTACTTTGAAGCCGATCCATCATCCAAGATGGCCGCCAGCGGGGGACTTAGTTTAACATAGGACCCTATGGGAAATACATACAAATGTTGACTTTTAGAGAACCACTGAATGGAATGAAACCAAACATGGCATGAATGTTCCTTATGAGGTGCTGACCAAGTGCTGTTACTTTGAAGCCGATCCATCATCCAAGATGGCCGCCAGCGGAGGACTTAGTTTAACATAGGACCCTATGGGAAATACATGCAAATGTCTTCTTTTAGAGAACCACTGAATGGAATGAAACCAAACATGGTATGAATGTTCCTTATGAGGTGCTGACCAAGTGTTGTTACTTTGAAGCCGATCCATAATCTAAGATGGCCGCCAGCGGGGGACTTAGTTTAACATAGGACCCTATGGGAAATACATACAAATGTCTTCTTTTAGAGAACCACTGAATGGAATGAAACCAAACATTGCATGAATGTTCCTTATGAGGTGCTGACCAAGTGTTGTTACTTTGAAGCCGATCCATCATCCAAGATGGCCACCAGTGGAGGACTTAGTTTAACATAGGACCCTATGGGAAATATTTACAAATGTCTTCTTTTAGAGAACCACTAAATGGAATGAAACCATACATGACATGAATGTTCCTTATGAGGTGCTGACCAAGTGTTGTTACTTTGAAGCCAATCCATCATCCAAGATGGCAGCCAGCGGGGGACTTAGTTTAACATAGGACCCTATGGGAAATACATACAAATGTCTTCTTTTAGAGAACCACTGAATGCAATGAAACCAAACATGGCATGAATGTTCCTTATGAGGTGCTGACCAAGTGTTGTTACTATGAAGCCGATCCATAATCTAAGATGGCCGCCAGCGGAGGACTTAGTTTAACATAGGACCCTATGAGAAATACATACAAATGTTTTCTTTTAGAGAACCATTGAATGGAATGAAACCAAACATGGCATGCATGTTCCTTTTGAGGTGCTGACCAAGTGTTGTTACTTTGAAGCTGATCCTTCATCCATGATGGCTGCCAGATGTGGACAATGTTTAACAAAGGACCCTATGGACAATACATACAAATGTCTTCTTTTAGAAAACCACATACTGAATGGATTGAAACCAAACATGGCATGAATGTTCCTTATGAGGTGCTGACTAAGTTTTGTTACTTTGAAATTGATCCTTCATCCATGATGGCCGCCAAAGGGGGGACTTCCTTTAACATAAGACCCTATGGGAAATACATACAAATGCTTCTTCTAGGTGCACTGAATGGACTGAAACCAAAACATGGCATAAATGTTTCTTATGAGGTGCTGATTAAGTGTTGCTACTTTGTTGCTGATTTACTGTTCAAGATGGCCACCAGGATTTTTTATTAAACAGGACCAATATTAAACCAAATTTGGCCTCAGTCATTATTAGGGTATCTGTTATGATTTTAATCTATTTTTACATGATTTCCAAAACCAAAGTAGAATCAGGTGAGCGACACAGGCTCTTGAGAGCCTCTAGTTTTTCATTTCCAGATCTTCCCAGGTGTGTCAAGAAAGATATGAAAAATTTCATGACCTTGACATTTGTTCCCCAGTGTTCAACCAGAAAAGAGCTGTTGCTATGGTGATGGAACAAACAGACAGAATGGTCTGTGATGTTTTACTTGATCAAGATATTTTACCTGGAGTTGGAAACATTATTAAAAATGAGGTAAGAACATGAAGAAGTACATATTTGAATTTTTCTTGTGGCCATTGTAAACAATCATTGGTATTGTGGAGTTGTTTCACTGCTTCTTTATAAAAACAATTCTTTTTTTATATTGTTTCCGTTTGAGACTTCCAAAGGGTAATATAAAAATTACCAGCACAAGGGTTTGATATTTTTGTAAACAGTAGACAATCAGACCAAGTGGCACAATGACACAACTACATATATCATCCTTTGATGTGTTGATTTTCATTGTCCGTAGTGTGGACTGACGGAGGACATTTTAGAGCATTAATAGGATATTTTAGTGGGAAAAAATTGACGTTTTAGCTCCTTAGTATAACCCAATTTAGCGCATGATTTTTAATCAATTTTATTGAAAAGTGAAATTATCAATCAGTTCTAGCCTAAACATAGAATCTTCCATTACATAGTATTCGGTCAGATAATCTGCTAATTCCACACATATCTTACCTTCTGGCACAATGGACATGAACTCTTCTACAAAACAATCAGATACAACTGTATCATCTAGAAATGTTATGCCGAATAAAGTGTAGATGAAAAGAACTTAATAATCCAGCATAATCACTGTTCATAGTTTTAGCATGGTCAATATTCTATCAGCAGGTAAGTTGTAGCTTAAATGGGCTATAGAAAATACAGGTAAACAGATTAATCCAGTGCTAAAATGTCCCATCGTAGTTCAAAATTTTTCAAAAAATGTCCTGCTCCCATGTGGACACTGTATTACTTGAAAAAAAAACATACACCTTCCCAATGTATTACTTCATGTTTTATGCCTCAAATAGCAAGATGGGGATGAAATTACACTGTAAAAAACTTTGGGTCATGAATTTTAAGATGAAGTAGGGATTTGGGTCAGTTAAAAAGGTAAAATATATGTTTGCCTAAAGATGTCAAACTGAATTCACGACCCCATCAACATTAAGTTTTCAATATTTTGAGTTAGAGCTTATGAAGTTTTTTATAATTTTGATAACACTTGTCCCAAAAGTTGAACACCACACTGTAAATTATATAATCGAGAAAGAGCAGGTGCGATTTTTTTAATTTGCATTTATTGTTCAAAAGAAATGCACTACAAATTTATTGTGTTATTGGGCCAAGTATGAAGCTTATATGGTGGAATACATTAAACAAGTAACATATGTGACATCTACAACATACATGTATATAAGCAACAAAGACATATACATGTACAAGTACTATTAAAAAAATTTCAATGCAAAATAAATAAAAAAATTTCTGTTATTATCATGAATTTTATGCATTCAAAAACTTTGGTGAAAAGTTCGGAAGGGAGGGTGAATAAACTAATTTTGTGACTACTTTTAGGGTATTCTAAAGTATTAACTAAATAAGGATTTTTAAAAAGTGTAAAGTGACCATAATTCAGAAATCTAGTATTTATCATTTGCTAAAGGAAAATAACTACAGTAGTTTGAGAAATTTCATCAAGTAATTACTAGATTTTAGTATTAGACTTTGATACTCTTCTGTTTATATATACATTTATAGATATGTTACTCTAATTTTCAGGCATTGTTTGACAGTGGAATAAAACCAGACTCTAAGGTAGTTATATTAAGGACATGCAGATAGCTACTGTGAATTTTTGTTGGGAACAATTTTATTTGATTGAGGAAATGTTCTTTTTTGCATGTTATTTTTTAGTTTTGTAAAAATCTGCATACAGACAGACCTATAGGGAATGGGTATTTAGTTGAACTCAAAATATACACACACATAAAATCAATGAAAATTAAAAACACACAAATAAGAATAAATTCACACTCCTCAGTATATATAAAATACTTCAAAGTAGAATATATAAATTTGGTGATTTGTTCTGAATAGCAGTTTGTTTTCATACTTAGATCATAGATATCTATTAAGGGCAACAATGCCATTTTGCATACTTTGAACACATAGAACAAGATTAAAAAGTTTGATTTAGTGATAGTTTATTTTGTTAGGCCAAAAAAAAATATATGTCTGTTTAAGGTTACATCCATTAAAAAAATAGGGTAGGTAGGTAGGTATTTCCATTTTATTTTATTTTTTCATTTTTTTTTTTTTGGCGAGATGTGTGATGTTGTTACATGTTGTTTTAACTAATATAAAGTGACTATATTAACTTTTTACTGTCATATAAACTAAAAATAAATTGTTTTGTCCTTTCTAATATATAGGTTTATTAATGTACATGTATGCAGAAATAAATTCATTATGCTGTACTGGTGTATGAACAATCAATATATATAAAACAAGAAGACCCATCAGAAACGAGGAAAGATGACAAAACCTGCACTTATACATATGAACGTACTGGTTCAAGTTTTGAGGGTTGTACCAACTCCTTGTATTAAAGAATGTTTCTTTCACTTTTGCAAATTTGATGCATTAAACTTTTAATAAATTAAATTCTTTTATACCATAATAAATAACCTTCCCAGGAACATTGCTGACAAGTTTGGTACTGTGTGTTTTTTTAGAAGACATGGGGAGTAGACACCCCTGCAGACCATACATGTTATTAAATGTGTGGTATTTACATTTATTTATGAGAGGTTAGTCTGAAATTATCTATCTGTCAGTACTTGGCTAACCTCTACAAGTACTGACACTTACCTGCAGAATTAATAAATAGAAAAAAAACATGCCTGTTTTAACAGGTTCAATTCCTGGTTTGAAATATATTTGCAGGGATAGGTGTCAAAAGGGTGATGTCAGATGACTTTTAATATTTAAAAAAAGTTGGGTATGCTTGTCCTCCAGCCATCATAACTTGAAAAATTTATTGCAATGTTGGTAGCATTGTCTGCCGCTGTTTGGACAATAGATACCAAATTATTGTTGATTTCCTTCTCTCATAAAATATCTATACATTTAACATTGAATTTATCTACAACATCTCCAACAGTTAAGTTCCCGTCAACAATATAACCGTCACCTTGTTGAATTTCAGTCTTCCAAGTCACCGTTACTTTGTATGTTTTTGCAGGTTGTTTACTATGGTACAGATCAAACACTAGGTACCAATTATTAATTTGTTTGGTAACGTTGTCAAAATAGATTTTGTAAGCATGTGGTCGCATTTTTTTAACTTTAATGTGACCACGCTTGCTGCCTCAGCCTGTTGGGGCCATACAAGCTGCCATTGAGATCTAGAACGTAAAAACACTTCAATATCGAGTCGGCGATTTTAAAATTAAAGCGCTCCGATGATCACGCACCTACTTTCACTATTGTTTTAAACTGAAAGTAGGTGTTTCCTGCTTTGTACTTTCACTTTCGATTTCATTTTTGAATAAAATGACATAGGGTCGGCAATCCAAAATAGGGATGGTCGGGTAACCATAAACAGACATATATTTTTTTTTGGCCTTAAGAGTTGAGCAGGGTGATTCAGTTATAGGCAAGGCCAATAAGATTAATAATAGTTTATATGGACAAATAGTCTAAACATGAGAATACAAGAAGTTGCAAATTGAATGTTTTAAAGCGCATAGGCTTTTCTAAGGATTTAAATGAAATTCAACTTAATAGCTTCTACTTTTAACCGAAGTATATTACTTGAAAAAAGTTGGCTGAGTAGGAAACTGACATTTGTTGTTTTCAGAGTTGTCTTGTATTTACTTGAGGACAATAATTTGAATATATAACATGAATGATAAGAATATATATCACTTTTTCAGGTAAATGAGTTGAAAGAAGAGCATGTACTACATTTAGTGAAGATGACCAGAGATTTCTCTATGATATTCTATAAGGTAATAGATGTATATTGATTACCATGCATCCCAATCAATAAAAAAAGAGACAATAAAAAATATAAGTCTAAAAAAATCCAGAAAATACAATGTTCCAAAAATAATAACAACAAAAAGACAAACAACAGTATACAAACCACTACATAGAAAATTAAAGGCTGAGCATTTTAAACTCGACAGAAAAACCAGGGAGAGGTGCTCCTAAAAGGGTAAGCAGATCCTCCCACACCAGTAGCACCCTTTGTGTAGCACATGGCAAGTTGAAAATTTGGTGACAAGTCTCATTTGGTAATGTCGTAATCAAGGACTAGAGGACAGAAGTGTGGCTACAACAGTATGAACATATGAGGGTCTGAATTGGGTTTACAGAATAGAGAATTATAGAGAAAACATGCAGAAAAATCAACCAAAAAAATAAAGAATACAGAAAAATAGGGTAAAAAATAAAGAATAGAGAATAATGGGGTGCTAAAGTATAAAGAATAATGGGCAAAAAAAATTGAAGAATACAGAAATGAAGGACCACATGACTTCCAGACCCTCACATATCAATGATCATTTGTGACACACTTATTCCATCTTTTCAACCAAATTATGATGGTGTCCATACAAAGTTTTTTTTTACCATATTTGTGCCAATGCCACAGTCAAGACGTGGTGAGAACTTAAGTATTTACTGCACCTATAACATTTTTCAATAAGATATATTTATCCACTTTAATGCATTTATGATTTATATCAAGCTTATTCAAATTTTATTAGAAAGTCCTATGATATTGTCAGAATGCATTGTGCATTTAGATATTACACTGAAAATTTGATGATTTATATAAAATTTCTGTCATAATGTACTAGTGTAGGAGTACTGGTACGAATTTAAGGAAGTTTATGAAGATCTACAATAAAGGAAAATGTACACAGTGTGATGGTAAAGTGGTGATATGTAGACTTGGTGAAGATAATGACAGGGTGACATACTTCTGTGGACAATGTCAGGATAACAATCTCAAACAAAAACAAACAAGGTAAAGTCAACACTTATTCGCTAAAAAGACTAATGTTGCAGTAAACCTTTATGTTATAATTGACAAGATTATACATGATACATATAAGGCGATAAATTTAGCTTCTTCATGATCAAGAAAAGTCTTGATTTTTTTAATCGTAAAAGGATGTAGTCTTGTTGATCTTTTGTTCATATATCAGTATTTGAGTCAAGTAGCAATTTTGGATAAGTCAATGGACTAGGATATAAGAGATGTTAAGAAATTTTTGTAAAAACAATGCTGCCTGCTAGAAGAAAAATGTTTGTTATATTTTCAGCTCACCTGACTTTTCTCTTCACTTTGCTTCCATTGTCTGTCAACCTCTTTTAATTTTTACAAAATCTCCTCTGAAACTGCTGGGCCAAATTTAACATAACTTGGCAACATCATTCTTTGGGTATCTAGTAAAATGTGTTTGATGACCCCACCTGCCAACCAACATGGCTGACATGGCTAAAAATAGAACATTGGGGTAAAAGCTAGTTTTGTCTTTTATCTTCAAAACCACTATAAAAAGAGATAATCTGACTGGGGCAGAAATGTTCAAAATATTGAGATCTCCCTACTGTCCATTTATATCAAAACAGTCAGACAACTTCTTTTAGGACATATTGCCCTTAAATAACGGTTTTTCTAAAAAATTTTCATTTTTGCCTATTATCTTGAAAACTGTAATGGATAGAGAGAAACTTTTAACAGCAAAAATGATCAGCAAGGCAAGATCCACAAATAAATCTATGGACTGAAATTGTAAGACAACTCCTTATTGGATTTATGTGCTTTAATAATGATTTTCACCATTTTTTGGCTTTTCTACCTTGTATCTTAAAAACTGTAATAGATATACATTTTGAAAAAAAAAAAAATGATCAGCAAGACATCTTCAAAATGTCAAGATGACTGAAATAGTCAGTCAACTCCTTAATATTATCTTGAAAACTATAAAAGATAGATACTTGTACAATCATAAACAAAGGAAGATAACTCCAACTCAAATTTATAATTTGCATATCTAATAACAATTAAACGCTTTATTTTAAATTAACAAAATTGCAAAATGAAAGCAATCTTTACCCTTCAGTGCTCACAAGCAATTTGATTAATGTCACTTTCTAGAAGAATTTTTATTGTGTGGCTTAGGTAAAAATTTCCTGTATTAAAAACCAAAATCTAAAACTTTGATCATTAGTTATACCAAGACACCGTGTTATTAACACACACTATTTTCTTCTTGAGTTATTTATGTTGAGTATACATTATGTTATTAAGATTGCAACAACAACAGAAAAATATTTATAGGTCACTTTGAAGTTTACAAATGATAGGGACAGTATTTTAGTGTGGATCAAGTAAAAAAGAAATATGAAAACTTCAAGATTCATTTCTTTAAAGAATTTTTTGTTGAACAGTCTAACTCTGTCAGGACTTATCAAGACTTTTGTTTCAACAATTATAACTTAAAAAAGCTAGTGTCTCATCATATGTCCAAAGGAAAATATAAAATGATTTGGTGAATAACATTATTTTGAGAAGACAATTATGTTAAATTTATGTTTTAGAACATTACCTACAAAGAATAGCTTACTTGGATGGGTACAGACAGGCAAGCTGCAGCAGACGACACAAGCAGAGGAAGCAGTTGATTGGGCATGCTCAGTTTGTACCCTTGTAAATAGAGCAACAACAGTCACATGTGATGCATGTTTGACAAAAAGGGAGAGTAATCAAACCCCAGGTGTGATGAAACAAAACAGTAAGTTAATGTATCAGGGGAGACAAAAAAAACAAAGATTTATAAAAAAATCAACTTTTACGTCATTGGTTTGCACAGTACTTTAGTGCAGGAGGTTGCTGGTTCAACCCCGACCGGATTAAACCACAAACTTTAAAATTGGTATTTGCTGCTTTTCCGCTAAGCATGGGGCATAAAGAATTTAGAGCAAAGACAGGTTGGCTCGTAGTCCGAATAATGTGTCGATATGGATGACATGTCTTTCTGCAGATTATTACCTTGTGAACTAGCATGTTAAAAATCCGGTTCATTGTATTAGTCTAGTACAAAGTAGGGTTCATACTCATATAGCATTAACCTGTTCCTGAGTATGCATTGAATTTGCCACTGGACATTAAACAGCCATCCATCCATCATACTGTACTAAATCTGTTTTAAAATTACCCACTTTGTTTCCAGTTTTAGTATTTTAGAACGGGAAACATTCTCAGGTGAACTGACTTGTTTCTTTTCAATGTAAACCTGAAGGAAGGATAAAGTTTTGATATAGATGAGCTGTGAAAAATGTTCCTTCTGTAACCACATATGTTTCAATCTCATGTTCACCATTAATGTATTGTGCATCTAAAGGGTGAAAAGTTGTGTCAGTATTGTGATCATTGACTGTTAAAAGCCTACTCTTGAAACCTATATTTATACTGTGGCTTCAAATTATTTAAAATTCATGTTTCTTAAAAAGTGGATAAGCTTAAATATAAACAGATAAAAAAGGAAATTTCAAATCTCAAATTCAATTTTACTGATAAAACCTTTTGAAACATACATTGGCAATCATACCACATCTCCTAATTTGGATAATGTTCATATAGTTAATGTATTATCACTTGTTTTTATTTTGATTTCAGGTAAAGCTGCTTCTACTTTGTCAAATGGAACAAAAGATAATCCTATAAACTTAACTGCTAATTCTCAAAAGAGAAAATCATCAGATCCTGTTACTTCAAGTAACTTAAAGAGACAAAAAATAGACAAAGTTGTCAAAAATGATGAAAAACAAGATATTGTTGTCAATAAAATTCCCCTTTGTCCTGGACATAAACAAAAGTGCAATTTGACAGAAGTCAGGAAAAAGGGAGATAACTATCTCAGATGGTTTTTCAGTTGCAGTCTTCAAAGATCAAAACAATGTAAATTTTTCAAGGTTTGTATTTTAAAAATTGTCATTCATTATTTAGTTACTTTTTCTTTTATAACAGGTATGTTTGATTACAATTGAAATGAAATTTTAAAATAGAGAGTGGTTCGACTTTCAATGAAAAAAACTATCAACAAAGACTGAATGATGAAAAATTTATTCCAATTTTGGAAATACTATGAAGTCAGAAATGTTTGAGATGGTTTTTTCATTACGAAAATTGTAATAGGACAGGTACACATTTCACAAAACTTCCATGGTAAGCTATAAGGTAAAATATAGAAAAACACGCATCAACATGAAATATAAAGAAAGTAACTAACCTGAATTGTAGTATAACATTAAGACAAAATAAGATATCTCTAAAAGTCTCTATACCAAAATTGAAAAGGGTCTCTTTTACAAAGATCTTGACAAAATTAGTCAAAATTTAGAAATAAAAACTAATTTTGTGAATTACAAAATTCAAAGTATCATCATGTAGTATACTATGTCTTTGTATGTCAAAATGTACATATGCAAGAAAAGAAAATATGACAAAATTTATGAAAATAATCAATCTTTACTACAATTGTTGTACCTTCTATTTCTGTCATAAGGGGGATGAGACAATTGTTGTACCTTGTATTTCTGTCATAAGGGGGGATGGGACAATTGTTGTACCTTGTATTTCTGTCGTAAGGGGGGATGGGACTATTGTTGTACCTTGTATTTCTGTCATAAGGGGGGATGGGACAATTGTTGTACCTTGTATTTCTGTCATAAGGGGGGATGGGACAATTGTTGTTCCTTGTATTTCTGTCGAAAGTGGGATGGGACAATTGTTGTACCTTGTATTTCTGTCATAAGAGGGATGGGACAATTGTTGTTCCTTGTATTTCTGTCGAATGGGGGATGGGACAATTGTTGTTCCTTGTATTTCTGTCATAAGGGGGGATGGGACAATTGTTGTTCCTTGTATTTCTGTCATAAGGGGGGATGGGACAATTGTTGTTACTTGTATTTCTGTCATAAGGGGTGGTGGGACAATTGTTGTTCCTTGTATTTCTGTCATAAGGGGGGATGGGACAATTGTTGTTCCTTGTATTTCTGTAGAAAGGGGGATGGGACAATTGTTGTACCTTGTATTTCTGTCATAAGGGGAGATGGGACAATTGTTGTACCTTGTATTTCTGTCATAAGGGGGGATTGGACAATTGTTGTTCCTTGTATTTCAGTCGAAAGGGGGATGGAACAATTGTTGTACCTTGTATTTCTGTCATAAGGGGGGATGGGACAATTGTTGTACCTTGCATTTCTGTCATAAGGGGGGATGGAACAATTGTTGTACCTTGTATTCTGTCATAAGGGGGGACGGGACAATTGTTATACCTTGTATTTCTGTCATAAGGGGGGATGGGACAATTGTTGTACCTTGTATTCTGTCATAAGGGGGGACGGGACAATTGTTGTACCTTGTATTTCTGTCATAAGGGGGGGATGGGACAATTGTTGTACCTTGTATTCTGTCATAAGGGGGGACGGGACAATTGTTGTACCTTGTATTCTGTCATAAGGGGGGATGGGACAATTGTACCTTGTATTTCTGTCATAAGAGGGGAGGGGACAGTTGTTTTGCCTTGTATTTCTGTCATAAGGGGGATGAGATATAAATGTTATGTAGATTCATATATTTTCGTGGGTACCAATTTTCATGTATTGTTGGAAACTTGTATTTTCATGGATCTTTGATTTTGTGGTTTTGCCAACATCTGCATACAATATAAAAATAAGAAGATGTGGTATGATTGCCAATGAGATAACTCTCTTCCAGAGACCTATTGACAGAAGTTAACAACTATAGGTCACCGTAAGGCCTTCAGCAATAAGCTAAACCCATACCGTATAGTCAGCTGTAAAAGACCCTGTATTACAAATGTAAAACAATTCAAATGAGAAAACTAACTGACTGATTTATATATGCAAAACAATGAACGAAAAACAAATATGATATACAGCAACAAACGACAACCACTGAATTACAGGCTCCTGACTTGAGGCAGGCACAAACAGAATGTCTATATAAGCCTAAAGAAAATGTGTATTTATCAAACATTCAAATTTGTGGTTTACTTATATCAACGAAATAAACGAAAATTGGTATCCTACTATTTATAATGAATCCACAGTAACAGAAACATTGTTATTTCATTTTTATGCTAATTCTTTCAGTGGGCAGATGAGAGTTTTCCATTGTGTGAAGGACATGTGAAACCCTGTACAATAAGGACTGTGATGAAGCAAGGACAAAATAATGGAAGGAAATTTTTCACATGTAGTTTTCCTAAAAATAAACAATGTGGATATTTTGAATGGGCTATTGGATATGATTGATATCCTCTTTTCAGCATTTTAGTACTTGTAATTTTATCATATCAATGTATCGAGTAAAATCATTTTTAATGAAATCTAATCTGTCTGTAGATAAGATGTTATATGTCAACAGAAAATGACATTAGAATGTCTTTCAGTATTTTAAAATACATTAAATTTGCTGCACAGTTCAGTTAAAATTGTGAAGCTGGTTGTTCTTCTGTGCAAGCTGTTCAAAAATAAAATAAAATATTGGAGTTAAAATATCAATTTATGTCTTCCTGTAGTATTACTTTCATCCAGGGTAAGAGGTTTTTGGTAATCATGGTAATATGAAAGTTTGCATCTGGTAATGAGGAAAAATGTGTAGTTGCAAAAAACAATTATATTTCTTTTTATATAAATTGTATTGAATGCTCTGTTAGTTACCGAATAGGAGGAGGTAATTTACTTTAGAACCAATGAACAATTCTTTTACTAAAAATTATAAAGTTTTGTTTAAAAAAAAAAAAGGGTAAGCAAATTGACTGATTCATACAAAGTGATTCCCCTTAATATAATAATTCCATATTAGAATGGCTTTTATCCAGGGTGATTTACCCTTACATTGGATATAGTGATTTCTGATTCAATGCAAGTATGATTTAGAGGGAAATGTACATTAATTTGTTTAGATTACACCAAACAGTCCACTTGCATGACAGAATCAGAGAATTCAAAGTAGCAATTTATTTTGCAACACTATTTAGCTCACCTCCAACTTGTATCCTGGGATCAAATATGGCTGATGTTGCTTAATATAGAACATATTGGTAAAATTCAGGTTTTGTCTTATTTATCAAAAAATAAAGCAGTTAGAGCAAAGTGGTAAACATGTTCAGCAGGTTAAGGTCTATATATCTTACAGCACTTTCTTATGGCAAGCCGTTTTACTATTTATTCTAATTTCAAGATATCTAATAATTCTATAATATATCTCATATAGGTTATAAGATATCTTATAAAGTTTATAAGATATCTCGTTTAATTTTCTTTATAAGATATCTTATAAATTATGAGATATCTTATAGATTATATGAGATATCTTATAACCTATATAAGATACCTTATAAAATATATGAGATATCTAATAAAGTAAAATAAGATATCTTATATAGAAAATATTTATAAGATATTTTATAAACTTTATAATAGATATCTTGTATACTTTATGAGATATCTTATATACGTTATAAGGTATCATATTTAATCTAGTTTTTAAAAGATATCTTATAAACTTTATAAGGTATCTTATATAGATATCTTATAAAATTTATAAGGTATCTTACATAGATATCTTACAAAATTCATAAGATATCTTATATAGAAAATTATATGAGATATCTTATAAAGTATATAAGATATCTCATATAATATATAACTTCTTTTAAATTATTTGAGATATCTTATATAAATTATGTATTTGTAAACTTTATAATATCTTCTATACTTTATAAGATATCTTATAAACTTTAGAAGATATCGATGAAAGTATATAAGATATCTTGTAAAGTGTATTAGATATCTTATAATGTTTATAAGATATCCTATAAAAACTAGGTTATATAAGATATCTTATATATTATATGAGATATCTTGAAGTTAGAATTAATAGTAAAATGGCTTGCCATACTTTCTGAAAATGATCAGCAGGTCGAGATTTATCTTCTGAGGAATGTTTGTGATTAGATCAATTTAAGGGAATTCACTTTTGATAAGACAATGATATTTGGTATGCAGTAGTATAAGCATTGGCACATCTCGTTTCCATGGTGATCATTTTGGCCCCGCCCCCACAATCATGGTCTATTGACTGCATAGTTTACATGTTATGGTTTGTGATAAGGTTAATTTAAGGGAAACCACTTATGACGAGTCTATAATATTTTGTTTGCAAATGTATCTCAGAAATTATTTTGCCCTGTTCTTTCAGTCTATTGATTTAGTAATTTACTTTAAAGAATTGCTATTTTAATTTCAACATTTAAATTTTATTATCAAATTATATACAGGCGAGATATATCTCTGTGTCAACAGTTTATTACTTTTTTTGATTTTTTTTTTTTTTGTTGTTGTTGCATTAACTGTAAAATGGACAGAGAAACACAGCATACAACTAAAATGTTCTGCACAATAAAATTTTCAAATAAGTCAACATGGTCGTAATTGTCAACAGACTCCTTATAGGAGTTATTTTCCCTGAATAATGAGCTGTACCCATTTTTTTTTGCATTTTTATCAAAACTACAGTAAATAAATAGAAACTTGATCATGTTAAAAAGCCAAAAGTGATCAGCGAAATAAGATCTGCATAAAAGTCAAAACATGTGAAATCGTCAGACTCCTTATAGGATTAATTGACCTTGAAGGATGATTTTTTCACAATTTTTTATAATTTTGACTATAATTTCTAAAATTTAAAAGATAGGTTTAAACTGTAAACAGTTATGAATTACTATCAATAAACAAGGTCTACAGATATGCCACTAAATAAAATTTAAAAATTAGTTAAGGTAAAAATAAACATGAAGATGGCAGATTTTTACCAGGTAAGCAATTCAGGCTCTTGCGCTCTTCTTGTTTTAATGAGGGTATACTAATGTAGAAATTATGTCTTGCCTGCGATGAATGTCACAGAATGTAAGCCAGGATGATGCTGATCAAGTGGCAATGGATTGAAATATTCTTAAAGAGCATAGAATACCTGGATTCTTCATATCTTGCAAAAAGATGCCGTATGGTCTGAAGTTTGCTTCTGCAAATGTTAGTTTTCTTTGACTTCATTTTTTAGGGCTCAGTGGTTGCTTAAAAATCCTAGTTTTTAGCTCACCTGGCCCAAAAGGTCATGTGAGCTTTTACCATTACTTGGCGTCCTTTGTCGTCTTCATCCTTTGTCGTACTTATGACAGATCTCCTTGAAACTAGGTCAAACGGTACCAAACTTTACCTGCATGTTCCTTATGGTATCTTGTTTAAAACATTATATATGGGGTTTTGATCCATCAGCAAACATGGCCGCTGATGCTTAAAATAGAAGATAGTGGTCAAATGCCTTTTTTGGCTTATATGATCAAGTTTTGGGGTATAAATGACAGCAGGTGGAGGTTTATTTCCCACAAAATTTGAGAAAAATCAGACAACCCATGTTGGAGTTATTGCCTCGAATGTTCTTTTTATGCAAATTTCGAAGTTTGTAACCGGATTTCCTAAGAAAAATATCGGTTATTATTTTTGTGATGTACGGGGACGGTCGGGCTTGCGGCTGGGCGGCTGCCAAACAGTGTCCGTTCAATAACTTGAAAATGCTTTGACGAAATCTTTTCAAATTTTATATGTTGTTTCCTGTGACTAAATGAAGGTCAAGTTCGATTTTCATGATTTTGGTTTTTATCGTTGTTGAATTGTAGACCTTTAAGTAGCGAAAAGTGATACTGAGAGCACTTTTCTGTGCAATAACTTGAAAACACTTTGACGAAATCTTTTCAAATTTAGATATGTTGTTTTCTGTGACAAAATGAAGGTAAAGTTCGATTTTTGGAAACTTTATTTTCGTGTATCTAATTGGAATAAATATCCCATCTGACACGAATCTGAGAATATAAGAATTATAAACTATCTGACGGAGAGATGAATGAAAGAATGAATGATGATCGTCCAACTGACAAAATTAACCACGTGCATTCAGGACGACGACACATTCGTATATGACACAAATATGAATCCTGCAAGATTGGTGGAATTTATTATAAAAAATGCGAACACAGTATATGTGGAAGCTTTTTGCCATCTTCTCTGAATGGATCGTCACGGGTTTTTTCCTCTTTCTAAAAATGTTTTGGAAATAAAAATAAAGTTGGGATTGAGGATACCTGATGAAATTCTACACAAAAAGCGCGATGTACGCACCAAATTAGTTTATGTTTATTTGTTGTTCTAAACCGACATGCATATAGCGTCCGCCTGAAGAAAGCCCATAATTTGTTTAATATTAAAAGATCCGTCGTCAGGTTCCCGTATTCCGATAAACTACATGGGAGTTAGTCTATTATCATGTGTTGTCAAACTCTTTAGGGCATTTGTCAAAAAGAGATTAAAAAGTTTTCTCGAGACAGAAAATATTCTGGTAGATATACAGAATGGATTCAGGAAAAACAGGTCTTGCGAAGATCATTTGTTTACTTTAAACAGTACTGTGAGAAACAACCCAAACGTTTTTGCGGCATTCGTTGATTTAAAAAAAGTGCTTTGATTTCATTGATAGAGACATGATGTTGTATAACTTGCGCTTAAATAATATAGACGGAAAAATTTACAATTCAATTAAAAGTATTTATCAGCATACAAGTTCCTGTGTGCAGATCAACAAAAAGCTGACGAATTGGTTTGACTGCAAATCCGGCGTAAAACAAGGTGATAACGTTTCCCCGACGCTTTGCTCTATCTTCATCAACGATCTCGTTAAAGAAGTTAATGATTTAAATTTAGAATTTGTTATTAATGGAAGACAGCTTTCGCTTTTACTTTACGCTGATGATGTTGTATTTGCAAAAAGTGAGGATGAACTTCAACAAATGTTAAACGTGATTCAAAATTGGTGTAAACGATGGAGGGTTCTGATCAACACGGACAAATATAAACTTGTAGACCTGTTGGTGACCTTCTGCTGTTGTCTGTTCTATGGTCGGGTTGATGTCTCTTTGACACATTCCCCATTTCCATTCTCAATTTTATTGTGCGTACATTTTCGTAAAGGACGTTAAAAGCAGAGTGAATTTGAGTTTTCAATCGGCAATAATGCGTTAAAAATAGTGGACGATTACAAATACTTAGGTGTAACTTTTAACTGCAAAGGTAACTTTGATTTACATGCAGAAACTTTAGTTAAAGGTGCAGGAAGTGCCATAGGTAAAATCCTCTCGAAAATCCATAGTTTAAAGGATTTTGGATTTCAATCTTATGAAAAACTTTCAGTTTCAGCATTAGGTAAAATCATTTAACATGGATTACGAATTTTGCACAAACAATTGGTGTAGTGACTTAAAGATATTTTCATTGAACTTAATATGTCACATTATTACGAAAGTAGAACAATGGTGAATTTGAAATCTTTTGAACAAATTGTACGAACTTATTATTGTGGTATATGGAGAGAGTCCTTGATAAATAAAACAATGCTATGATCCTACTTAAACTTTAAAACAAACTGTGAATTAGAACACTATGTAAAACTAAATCTTAAGGAGAACGAGCGATTTGT